GGTTATTTTGTATAAGGTTTTTTTTATTTTTTGTACTCGTATGTAGTCGTATGTTACTCGTATGTAACCTGTATGTAGTCGTATGTTGCTCGTATGTAACCTGTATGTAGTCGTATGAAGTTGTATGTAGTTGTATGTTACTCGTATGTAGTCGTATGTGACTTGTGGGTAGTTTTAGCTAAAAGGCCACACTAAGCCTCAAGCATAGGTAGACTGTCAAAAGATTGCCCTCGATACTGAAAGAAGGGCCTCATCCCCATCTCTAATATAACCATCCTGAGATTTGTAACTTCTCCATCCTCCATGGCTTGCAATCAGACGACTTGGTACTCCTCTTTCATGCGCTAAGGTTGCACCACCTGACCGGAGGCTATGTAATCCATACTCATCACTATTTAGGCCAATACCCTTGAACATTTTAAGGACAAGTTGTCTTGCTGAGGCATACTTCAGMTTGTCACCAGACACTTTCTGCCTACTACCTTCACCAYGGATCTCTCTGAGCAAGTAACCACTTGAAATGTTAGCATGCAGCAAGTAGCGTCGCACAATAGACATTGGACATGCTACACCTTCCATTTGACTAAGGTACATATAATTTCCTTTGTGGAACTGGTCATTCTTGCGTTTCTCAAGAGAATTGTCAAAGTCCTTTTGAAAGCAAATTCCCCTAGCTCGAATTTGCGAAAGGTCACTCCAACGCAGAAAACCAAGAAAGCCTAAAAGAACAATCATGACTCCCTGAAGATCTCTCAAGGAAGCTCCTGGTAAGCCATACTTCATAACAATGTTCCTCACATTTGCTGATGATAAGGGTTTCTTCTTAGTAACCGGCCTTGAGCAGACAYGTCTAGATGCTTCACAGAGTTGCACTACCAAAGGGTGTTTTGTTGGATCTGTCAGCAAGGCCTTTTTATGAGCCCAAGATATCCCATACATAGCTKATAAGACTGGGGCACTTGTGCTGCATGACCTAGCGATATCCGTCAAGAATAGGGCAACGTAGGGTCCATCCGCAGGGAGCCCTTGGATGTTGTGACTTTCAGCCCACCTCATCCATCGATTAAATCCCGTCAGATATTTTTTAACYGTCGACAATGCAATCTCTGTCCAGGAACTCGATTCAAACAGACTTGGTAATAGACACAGAGCATGCACCAATTAATCATAAGAAAACTGCAAACCGTTAAGCATAATAATTAATACATAACCTATCTATAACTTGTCCCCAGTTAGGACTTCCTCTTGATTCTTAAGGGGTGCTAGCTTCCAGCCTCCACTCCTAGAGCGGGAGCCCCACAGTTTAGACTTGCCACCTTGGCAGGAGGTCACTGAGTGATAGCTAACTTAAGCCTCCACAACGTAGTGGGAACAAACAGACAACTGTCTACAGTACTTCACATTTGGCAATTAATGCGTAGTGCCAATACACGGCAATTGGGCGTCCCATGACCAAATAGGTCACTCTCTGCTGATCCGGGTAGAAATGTAAGTGGGTGCAGAGGCACCTCCTGCGCATCGGTGATAAAGTTCTGAGCACGACCATTGTCCTTAAAGAGAAGTGTCCACCATGGTGCCGAGGGCCACACTGGCACCACAAGGGTACCAACTTCCTTGCCATGAACCATGTGCCGCAGCACTCTTGCAATGAGATGGACAGGCGGAACCAGCCAGTTATTATCCCCTGTCCAGTTCACCGTAAATGCATCAATGTGTGCACAACGCGGGCAAA